AGGAGAACTCACAGCCAAAAAAAAAGCCCAGATCTCCTCTGTTCCTGTGCAGTATTTCTATATTTGGGGTCTCTCTGATCAGCGTTGCACCAGGTCTTCCGGGTGGGCTGCACATCCCTCTGCCTCGGACGCAAGACTTTGGAGAGCTGGCTTTTTTGTTGGAATTCACACAGGCAAAGCCCTTGTGAAGGAAAAGCCCTTTAAAACGCTGTTTATTGCTTATTCTCCAGGGAGCCAGTAGGGGCCGTGCTGATGCAGGCGAGTGGGAAGGCGGAAGCACACACGGATGGGTCATGATTCATCCCCGGGCTCGGCTGTTTTTAGCCGGGTTTAAATTACTCGCAAGCTGCCAGACATTGTTCTGGGAGCTGAATAGCACCCGGCTGCGGTCTCGGCCCCGGCAGGAAAGGTTCATGTCCTGTTCCGCCCCCGATCAAACAAGTGCCAGGATGTCTACGAGAACAGCCAAAGGAGCCGCAAAATCTTTCCCCTCTCTCTCTCCTTGGGCTCACGCTGAGTGGGTGTCAATAAACAAGGGGGGGGAATCAACTGATGGTCTAAAAGAGAGATGATTAAAAAAATTCGGGGAAACAATACCGACTTTATTCTGCTGGCATCAGGCCCTCTTTTTTAGGAACCCTGCTGAAGAGAAACTGGCTTATTTGATCTATAATACAGGGTCAGTCAAACTCCCACCCAAATTCACTCAAGGCTGGCAAAGACTAGCGTGGATATTTTCTTGCTGATTTGGGACCTCGGGATTCTTTCAGACTTCGGTTTTTGCAGACAAATGATTTCTCTGCATCTGTGGATGCAACAATTCAGCAGTAATCCCCATACCTATGACGTGAACTAGACTTGCTTATGATGATCAGATTTGAAAGCAGTGTATTTTCTGGTACATGAGAAGCTACCTTCCTGGTGGGAATATCCATGGTTTTTGTATGGAACTGCATCCATCATGAACACCAGCTGTATGTATCCAGAGTTTTAATATGCCCATAACTGGTGACCTGCTGTTATCCAGAGCTTTTGGCACATTGATTTGTTATTTCTTTCTGCCTTGAATGGTTTCAAGCTACAAGCCAGACAGTCAACACTCTGCCACGAAACCTGAAGCCTGGAGGCGCACCATATGTTCTTGCAGGGCATCTGCACTATCTTCAGCATCAAGTTTCAGTCTCGCAATGCAAATGTCTGGGATGGATGAGATGTCAGCAAATTCAGGGCTTGGACCCAACCTACTTGTTCCCAGAGCATTCAGAGCAACATTAACTCGTCTTTTTACAAACTGCTCAGGAATCTGTTTGCTAACCCCTCTCTGAAAGGTGTTTGCAGGTGTTTGTCCTTCTCTTCTTGGGCTAACAACCCTTTCCTTTTCAGGATTTTCGCATCTTGGACTATTCTTGTTCTCCTCTTGATTCTCACTCTTTGGGCCACATTTCTTTGAAGTTTAACACTGGTCCAAAACTCCAGCATGGGCTTGGCTATGATTAAGCAGAACTGGTGTGGTAGTCCACACTTACACACCCTGGTACAGTATCTGCCTTATTCACAGCACGGGGCATGGACTCCTGCTTCTGACTGCCCACAGCTTCCTGCTCCTGCTCCTTAACCTACCATTTCCCACAAGTGTTAGTGCAGTTAATCACTCTTATCTTGACTAATTCTTTCCAGCCTCTGTTTCCCAGACTCACTCTCAATTTTTCTGACATTGCTATGGATTTCAGCCCTACCCTTTTCCATTTTCCCAGACCTTCTCCAGGTGGGACCTGCAGATTTTGTCTGTTCCAACATTTGTGTCACTAATCAGCTACTTATGGTCCTGGACCTACAGCAGGCCCCTGAGGATTCCAGTCATTCAGCTGGACAGCTGCTCTAGTAATGTCTAAATAAGCAGGTTCAAGCTCAGCCATGTCGTTTTAACTTCTTTTTAAAGCCATAAGAAGACTTAACAAAAGCCTACGAACCTTCCATCAGTCTTCTAGATCATCATGGCAACTATTGCACTATTACTGAATATTTCCTAAAAAAAGGTAGCTGCTGCTTTTTCTTCATGATTTTGGAGAAGCTCCTAAAAATATGACAGGTAAGGCAGGATTAATGAAGAACAGAAGGAAAACTGGAGTGACATGTGACAGTGTCAACTTAGAAGTGTAGAGTAATGAACCCCAGTGGTAGCAGCTGGGCAATTCGAGTTATTTACCACTTGGTTGCTTAGCTGGACCGAGAGGCAGGATTTAGCCCAAGAGAAAGGTCAAACAGAAGTTGCACTTCTCCTTTCTGGCCACACGATGTACCCATCACACCGCGAACAGCCTGGCCAGACCACCAGCAAGAGCTACCAGCTACAAAGGCAGGTGTTTCAGGGGGTTGTATTCCTCAAAAGCATCTCCTTCCCTCTATCCAGGCTCTTTAAAACAGCAAAAAATTTGAGACTAAAAATCTGAGCCACTGCTAAGACCACAGCACACACAACTCATTTGAGGAAGAGCCTCCTCTCTGACAACAAGAGGATGGCAGCATTTCACATCTCCCATTCCCCCTCCTGGCAGTCAGGCAGCAGAGGACCATCAGAAAACAACTATCGATTCTTGAAGATTATTAAAGAACTGTCCCAAAACTGGGAGGTTTGGTGACAGCCATCGTCCCTTGTGGTCTATGTTGCACACAAGTGATCGTGGCCAAGGCTGAACAACCACGTCCTGTTGCTTGTGTGAATGAAATCTCTGAGGGAACAAGTGCAGGCAGGTTAAATCAGCTTAAAACATAAATAAATGCCATATTTCCCTTTTGTAAGATCTCCTACAAGGATTCAGTGATACTCCCTTTAATGCTTATAATGGGGACATAGCAGAGACCTGACTTTCAACAGATGTACATATTTTAAAGGTGACCAGTCAGTGCAGCTGTACCACACAACCTGTTCAACTCAAACCATTCATTTAGCAGCAGAACAAATTTGTATTGTCTTCCATTTAACTAACTCACAAAGCACTTTCCTATAATTATATCTATCTTAATCAAAGAAAATGAGGATTTAAAAAAAAGGACTAATCTGCTCCTTGGCCATAATTGGATTTCTTCTGCAAATATTAAGTTACAACAATAGCAGCGACTTTTCTAATAAATTTACTTTTAAATGCTTTTCTTTATGTGAACTAGAGGAATGAGTGTTGCCTGCCTAGAAATCCTTAGAAGGAAGAAGTGAGGAGCATTTTCCAAGAACTCTCTTCCTCTTAAAAAAAAAAAAAAAAAAGAAATTAAATTAAGAAATTGGAAAGCAGGTGGCCAGATTTGTAGGTGGTAGAAAAACAGAATAAAATAATTAAACTTCAATTAGAAAATATTCCAATTTTTATCTTTTTGTTGAAATATCATAGGAAACTTTATCTATTTATCCAAAATAATGCCTAGCAAGCACTAACAATGGCTGGGAAAGGGTTAAATGGTGACAATCAGTGACACCAGCATTCCAACAAAGGGCATGGTCTGGGAAATGGAACCAAATACCAAGTTGCACAATTCTCATTCAGGGGCATTTCCAAAAGAGTCTTTGCTTCGGCGACAGAGCCTGGTCCAGCAGGATGTCCTGCTGC